CCGGCGGCGGCGGCTCCGGCGCGCCCCCGGGCGGCGCGCCGCCGAACCGCGCGGCCCTCTTCGCGCTCAAGTGCCGCGCGGGGTTGTCGCTCGCGGCCGACGACGGCGCGAAGCTCGGCGCGCGCGGCCGCCACCGCGCGGTCATCGCCGCGAAGACGGACCTCGCGCTCGGGCGCAACGCCCTCGGCCCGCGGCCCGCGGCCGGCGACGCCGCGGCGCTCGACCGCCTCGCGAAGCGGGCCGCGCTGCTCGCGGCGGCGCTCGACGCGAAGGCGACGCCCGCGCGCCTGGCGGAGCTCGCGGACGCGCTCGAGGGCCTGCGGCGCGCCCAGGGCCGCGACGAGGCGGCGGGCCTCCCCTCCTGGGCGCGGGACGCGTCGGCCGTGCGCGAGGAGGCGACGGAGGTCGACCTCGCGCTCCGCGAGCGCGACGCGCTCGCGGCGCGGCTCGCGCGCGGCGCCGCGGAGCGGCCGCCGCCGCCGCCGCCCCACCAGCCGGGGCCGCCGCCCATGCCGCCGCCGCCGAACTTCGAGGCCGCCATGCCGCCGCCGCCGCCGCCGCCGAAGGCGCGGCCGCCGCCGGCGCCGCGCGACCCGGCCGCGGCGTTCGCGCGATTCGAGACGAAGCTCGAGGCGGCGGCCGAGGGCGCGCTCCGCCTCGGCGACCTGCCCCTGCCGAGGCGCTCCGGCTCCGTGTCCGGCGCGTCGCGCGCGGACCCCGTCGACGACCGGAAGCGGGCCGTCCGCGCCGCGCTCCTCCGCTGGCACCCGGACAAGTTCGACCTCTCCAAGTTCCACCCGGACGACCGCGACGCCGTCAGCGACGCCGTCGCCGAGGTCACGCGGAGGATCGTCAAGGAGAAGAAGTTCCTCGCGTGAACTCGCCATTTTAACAACTTGCAGTTCAAGCTCGGTGAAAGTGAAGTAGTTTCATACAAACTCGATCCGCTCTTTCGGAGTGCCTCACTGGGTGGCAGCCGCGCTCCCTCCAGGGGTGGGGACCGCTGGGTTGGGGTCGCTTCTCCTAGCTTTGCTGTGTCTGGCGGCGCTTCCGCGCTCGGTACTTGACCCATGCCGCGCGGCTCGCCTCGCGTGAAGGAGTTCGGCGGCCGCGGCGGCGGCCAGGGCGGCCGCGGGGCGCCGCCCGGCGTCGGCGCCGGATCGACGTCCTTTCGACGGACCCGGTCGACTCCGCGCACGGGCAGCCCGATCCTCGACACGAACTACGTGCTCGTGAAGAGCAAGGACGGCAAGCGGCCGCCGATGCGCGAGGGCGCCGTCCGCAAGGCGAGCAGCGAGCTGACCGCCAAGCTCAACGAGGACGCCAAGGCCGATCCCAGCAAGGACAGCTGGCTCGGCACGACCTTCGGCCCCTTCCTCTGCTGCTCCTACGGGACGGAGGAGCTGACCTGCCGCCGCGAGGCGGACGACCAAGAAAAGGAGGAGGAGGAGGACCCCTACCCGGAAGTCGGCGTGACCTCGCCGAGCGGCTCGCCCGTCGCGCGGTGCCGCGACATGAGCCCGGACGACTTCGAACCACACGCCGACTTGCACGACGAGCACGCCGACTTCCACGGCGGCACGATGTCCGCGTTCAGGGGTAAGTAGCTTGCTCGCAGCAGCTGCAACATGGTTCAATGAGCTCAAGGTGCACTAGTACTCCGCGAGGCTGCCATCGAGAGGCATCGCGCGCGACGCGCGCAGGCGGCCTGCGCGCACGGAACGTCGCAGCGACCGCGCGTCGTCGCGGCCTCGCGCAGCGGTCGCAGCGATGAACGAGACCGACTTCGAGGCGGCGCAGGACGCGCTCGACGCCGACGAGCAGCCCGACGAGTCGATCCGGGACTGGATCATCAAGTTCTACACGGAGTTCAACCCGGAGAAGCTCGGCTCCGTCGACGTGATCCTGAGCAAGTACGTCGGCCGCGAGGACGAGCTCGTGCGCCAGCTCGAGCGCAAGTACGCGCCCATCGCCGCGGGCGACGAGCCGGCGCCCGCGCCCGCGCCGCGGTCCGCGTCGCCGCCGCCGCCGCCGCCGCCGGCCGCGGCCGCGCCGCCGCCGCCGGAGCCGGAGCCTGAGGCGCCGCCGGAGCCGCCGACGGGCGACGCGGCGCTCGACGAGGCGCGCGTCGCGCTCGCGCGCGAGCGCGAGGCGTCGCGCGCCGTCGCCGGCGAGAACGCGCGGCTCCAGAGCGCGCACGCGCAGGACCGGCGCGCGGCCGAGGCGTCCGCGCGCGACCGCGACGCCGCGGCCGCGAAGCTGCGGCGGGACCTCGACGCCGAGAGAGTCGCGCGCGCCAAGGCGGCCGCGGCGCGCGACTCCGCGGAGGCGAACGAGCGGTCCGCGTCGACGCGCGTCGAAGCGCTGGAGGCCCGCCTGCGCGCCGCGGACGCGACGAACGCCGAGGCCGCCGCCGCGGCCGCCGCGGCGACGCTGAGCTGCATCGCGAAGCACAAGCTGCTCGCGCGGACCGGGGCGGGAAAAGAGCGCGACATTCCCAACTTCTATCTCGGCCGTGTTCCACTCGTTTCGGCTGATGTTTGGACGAGCGATCATCTCTCGGAACGGTCTCGACGCGTGGATGCTTTTCCCGGAACGCGCGCGCGCGGAACACCCACGTTGAAGCGACGTCGAATCTCTCTTTTCCCGCCCAGGTGCGGACCGTCGAGGAGCAGCAGGAGCTGACGTACCATCTCAAAGCCGCGACGGAGACCATCGCGACCTACTTCCCGCCGGACTTCGAGGCGGAGATCGCCGCGCAGCTGATCGCCCAGGACGCCCTCTACGCGGAGGACGCCGCGCGGGCCGCGATGGACGCGGAGGCGGCGGGGTACCCGGAGACGAAGGACGACGACGACGACGCGTCCGACGACCCGGACGCGCCGGCGCTGCCGCCGCCGGAGGAGCCGCCCGCGGTCCGCGGCGGCCTGAAGCCGCCGCTGCTCGCCGCGCTCGAGAAGGGCGAGATCTCGGCGGCCGCGCCGCCGCTCGCGCGCGACCCGGACGGCGACGCGAGCGACGCGGCGGGCCGCGACGGCATCACGGGCCGGGCCTACGCGAAGATGTACGCCTCCGCGCGGCAGCAGATGGCGCGCATGACGCGGGAGCGGAACAACGCGGAGCGGCGGGTTTTGGAATACGCGCAGCTCAACAACGCGCTCGAGGAGGAGCTCGCGCTGCACCGGGCGGAGCTCGAGAAGAAGGCGGGCGCCGCCGACGGCGCGCGGTCCGAGAGCGACGGCCTGCGCGCGGACCTCGAGGCCGCGCGGGCCGCGCGCGACCGCCTCGAGGCCGCGCTCGCGAGGGAGCGGGCGGCCCACGAGGCGACGCGGCGCGACCTCCAGGAGGCCGAGGCCGTCGTCGACGTCGCGGCGGAGGCGCGGCGCGAGCAGGAGCGCTGGTTCGACGAGCAGCGCCGGCGCTGCGAGGACGAGGCGCAGGAGCTCGTCGACCGCGCGTTCGCGGACTCGTCGATGCTCCAGGAGGAGCTGCTGACCCGGGAGCTCAAGAACATGGAGGCGCGGCGGGAGATGGTCGACGCCCAGGTCAAGGCCCGCGACGAGGAGATCCAGCGGCTGTCGGAGCTCGTCGCGAATTTGGACGCGAACGTGAAGGCGCGCGACAAGCAGGTCGAGACGATGCAGGCCGAGCTCCACAAGGCCGCCAAGGCCTTCCTCCAGCACGAGAAGGACATCGTCGCCCGCGCGCCCAAGGCCATCGGCGGCGGCGGCCTCGTCGACGACGACGACGGCGCGGCCGGCGACGCGCCGCGACGGGACGACGCGGCCGCCGACGCGCCGCGGCGGGAGGACGCGGCCGGCGACGCGCCGCTCCCGTCGCTGCCCGCGGCCTACCCGGACGAGACGCCGCCGGTCCACGGGCCGCCCCTGCCGCCGAACTTCGAGCGGAAGCTGGACCTGTAACACGTTCTCGGTTGTTTTTTGCCGCGGATGTCCCCCCGCGAAAGCAGCACAACGTTCTCATTTCTGCTGGGTCTTGTGCCGGACCATGGATGTTCGCGCGGCCACCCGGTGAGGCCTCCGAGTCGGCCGGCGACAGCGGCGTCGTGGCTCAGCCTAGCTATAGGTCGACGCGCGCGCCGACAGGGCAAACATCAACGTCGTCCGACACGTGCTTTGTCGATAAGAGCTCAGAGTGAAGCTCCCCAGTCCTCGCCTGGCACTGCAATCGTGTACGATGGCTAACACCCCCCGCTCTCTCATCGCCCTCTTTCTCACGCTGTGGCGCGTCATCGCGCTCCAGCCGACGAAAATCTACCGCTCGGCGCTCGGCCCCGCCCGCGCGGCGCAGTCCTACGCGGTTCAACTCTCCACGGCCCTCCTCGCCGCCCCCGTCTGCAACGAGCCCTGCTGCCGCGGCGGCTGCGACGAGAACTGCCAGGCGCCCTGCTGCCGCGGCAAGTCGAGCCGGTGCTGCGAGAACCCCGCGTGTCGCGGGTGCTGTTCCAACCCGCGGTGCGCGAGCTGCGGGCCCGAGTGCACCGAGCCGTGTTGCATCTGAGCGCCGCGCCAAAAAAAACAGGGCGCCCCGCGCCCGGGCCCATCCCCCGGCGTCGCCCGGCGGCGCGCGGGCGACCCCCGGCGACGGGGCGCCCGCGGGGCCCGCGCGTCGCGCCGACGTTCCGACCGTCGCGAGATCGAAGCCGCGGCGTCACTGACACGTAAGAACGTCGAAACCAATTTCGGGGCCGGGGTACAATTCCCTAGCTTAGGAGCGCGCGCAGCGCCGCGGCCTGCTGGGCCGGCGTCGCCCGCCGCGTCCAGGCGCCGCAGACGCCGCCCTGCCGCATGGCGTGGACGTGGAGCTCGCCGAGGCGCGCGAGGACGTCGGCGCGGACGTGGGCCGCGGCGCGCGCCGGGCCGAGGCGGAGCGTCGGCGAGTCCGGGACCGGGCCCGGGTCCGCGGCGAGGAACGCGGCCTCGAGGCGGAGGAGCAGGTCGCCCGCGGCGCCCAGGGCCGCGAGGCCGCCGTCCTCGGGCCGCCGGAGCGCCGCCGCGGCGGCGGCGTCGACGGGCCCGCCGAGGCGCCGGGCGAACGCGCGCGCCGCCGCCGCGTCCGCGTCCGCGCGGAGCTCGGCGCCGCGGGCTTTGCTCACGGACGCCGCGGCCTTGGCGAGCCAGACGAGCGGCTCCGACAGGTTCATGACCGCCGTCGCGTTGCGCTCCGTCGCGCGGAGCCACAGGTCGTAGTCCTCCGCGCGGCAGCGCTCGTCGTAGCCGCCGAGCGCCTCGAGCGCGGCCCGGCGGCAGAGCACCGTCGGATGCGCGACGCAGCACGAAAAGTGCAGCGCCCAGCCCACGAGCAGCGGGCAGTGCGGGTGCTGGACATAGGTGCCGGCCGTGTTCGTGGCGAGGTCGAAGGACACGCAGCCCGCGCCCAGGAAATCGACGTCGGTCCGCGCGGCGAGCGCGGCCGCCTGCGCCGCGAAGCGCCCGGGCGCCGCGACGTCGTCGGCGTCGAGGCGGGCGACGAAGGGCTCCCGGCAGCGCGCGAGGCCCGCGTTGAGCGCGCCGGCGACGCCGCGCGATTCCGGGAGTCGGACCAGGACCACGCGGGCGTCGGCGACGCGTCGGACCGCGTCCGCGGTGCCGTCCGCGCTCCCGTCGTCCACGACCACGACCTCGGCGACGCCGTCGTCCAGGGCGGACCGCAGGGCGCGCTCGACGGTCTTCTCGGCGTCGCGCGCGGGCATGAGCACGCTCACGAGCGGCGCGGCCTCCGGAACCTTCCTCTCCGCGACGTCGCCGACGTGGACGCTGTCGAAGCGCGCGAGGCGGTAGTGGTCGGCGTCGAGGTCCGCGGCGGGGTCGCCGCAGCGCGCGTTTAAATCATCCAGCGTCGGCGCGCCGCCGTAGACCGGCGCCGCGTAGACGTCCTGGACGCGGTTGACGGTCACGCAGGTCAGCGCGGGCGCCGCGAGGCACGCGCACCGCGGCCGCCGCGCGCCCAGCGCCTCGAGGGCGCCGCGCTTCAACGCCGCGTCGCCGGCGGCCTCGAGACGGTTCGGGTGGCCCAGGGCCGCGTCCCCGACGGCGCCCAGAATCGCCGCGGCGTCCTCGGCGCGGTACAGCCCGCCGCACAGATCCCAGGGGTAGTTCCAGTCGCCCGCCGCGCCGCGCCGGTCGAAGAAGAGCACGTCGCCGGGCGTCCCGCCGACGGCGGACGGCGGGAGCTCGAAGGACGGCGGCGCGCAGGCCTTGGAGGCCGCGTGCGACCAGCTCACGCACGGCGACAGCCGCAGGTGCGCCGCGAGCGCGTCCGGTCGGTCCGCGAGCGCTCGCGCGCAGGCGCGGAGGTCCACGGGTCTGAGGAGCAGGGCGTCGTCGACGAGGAAGAGCACGAAGTCGACGTTCGTCGCCGTCTCGGCGACGGCGGCGCGGAGCTCGGCGGAGCCCGCTTCCCGCGCGAACGTCGCGCCTTCGAACTCGCGCGCGACGCCCGCGTAGGCCGCGGCGCCGCCGTCGTCGTCGGCGCGCCAGAGCACGAGGGTCTCGTCGACGGTGACGTTCTTTTTGAGGGACCGCAGGAGGCACCGCAGCTGGAAGGCGCGGTCCTTGGAGAAGACGACGCAGCGCGTGCGGTGCGCTGTCGCGGGCGGTGGTGGTTGCGCCTGCGTTGGCGTCGGTTTTGGTGTCGCGCGCGCCGGCGGCGCCGCGGGCAGGCCGCCGCCGAGGAAGCCGCCGATGTTGGCAAAGACCGAGGGGTCCATTGCCACAGAGGCTTTTTACACAGCTCGCCGATTGCCCTCTACTTCATCTTTGTTGCGCTTTTGTAATTGGCTGCCCTGCTTGAACACGCAGATCTGCAGAGCTCTCGCCATGGATCTCCGCATTGGCAGCCTCCTTTTGTTGCAATTGGCCGCCGCCGCGACCGCGACGACGACGGTCACGAGAACGAGGACCACCACCGTCACCGAGACGACGACGGTGCAGGCGCCGCGCATCTTCCGCTTCGAGCCCCGCCCGCGCATGGAGGAGGGCGGCTACAAGACCTGCGACCTGCAAAGGTCGGAGTGCTCCATCGCGAAGATGCCGCGCGACGAATCGACGGTCGTCTACCCCGGCGGCGACACGCGCTGCATCTCCGAGAAGACGGCCTACGGGTTCCAGGTCATCCCCGGCGACGGCGACAAGCTCCTCGTCTTCTTCCAGGGCGGCGGCGCGTGCTGGGACGCCGCGTCGACGAAGCGCTCCATGTGCGTCGAGGACGCCTACCCGTCCTACATGACGGGCCTCCTCGACCGCGCGAACGCGAAGAATCCCTACGTCAACCACACCGTCGTGCAGCTGCTCTACTGCTCCGGCGACGCGTTCGCCGCGGACGCCGCGGACCACGGCTGGACGACGGCGGACGGCGACAGGGCCGTCCAAAGCGGCCAGCAGAACGCGGACGCCACCTTCGCCTGGCTCCGCGGGCAGGTCGGCGCGCTTTCCGATTTGGTGATCGGCGGCGACTCCGCGGGGTCCCTCGCGGCGCAGGCCTGGGGCAACGCGATCTTCGACATGTTCCCGGCGGCGCGGAAGACGGCGCTCCTGGATTCCTACCTGGGCGTCTTCCCCGACGGCTGCCAGGGAAACGTGCTCTCCGAGGTCTGGCCCATGTGCACGGGGCCTCTGGCGACGTCGCTCGCGGCGCTCGGCCTCGACCGCGCGTGCGCGGCGGGCAACCTGACGATCCAGAAGGTGCTCGCGGCGACGGCGACGAGGCACGCCGACGCGCCCTTCGCTTTCATCCAGAGCAAGGCCGACGCGGTCCAGAAGGGCTTCTTCGAGTCCATCGCGCTGAGCTTCAAATCCTGGTGCGCGCTGGGCAAGACAAGAGTGATTCAACGTCGCTTCAATGTGAGTGTTCCGCGCGCGCGCGTTCCAAAAACAAGCATCCACGCTTCGAGACCGTTCCAAGAGATGATCGCTCGTCCAAAAATCAGCCGAAACGAGTGGAAAACGGCCGAGAGAGCAGCCTTTGAAGTTGGGAATTTCGCTCTCTTGTCCTGCCCCGGGTGCGCGTCTTCCTCGTCTTTCTCCGCGCGACGCGCGAAACCCCGCGCAGGCCCTTCCTCCTCTCGGATAGCAAGTTCTACGAGCGCGCGAACGAGATCCTCCTGGGCCTCGACGCGCTCCCGAACGTCGTCCACTACGCCGTCGACGGCGACATGCACACGTTCACGGAGGACGGCCTCGTCTACGAGGCCGACGGCACGGGCCCCAAGGGCGGCGGCGGCGGCCGCACGCTCATCGACTGGATCGCGCGGATCGCCGTCGACCGCGTCGCGACGACGGAGTGCGCGGGCGCGCTCGAGGACGAGCCGAAGTGGTCCGGGTCGACGTACTGCCCGCGGGCCCTCGCGAACAAGACGTTCTCGCCGACGGGCGTCTAGGACGGTCCTAACTTCCCCGGCGGACTCTAGGCCGCAACTTCCCCTCGTCGCGCACAGCCCCCGCACGAGCGGCGCGCCGCGAAGGTCTTACTACAGCTTCGCGTCGATGAGGTCCCGGCTCGGAGGGTCCGTGCAGCCGTCCTCCTGCTGGAGGCAGTAGGCGATGGCCTCGACGGCGTTGGTGATGGCGACGTCCTCGCCCTTGTCGCGCCAGTAGCGGGAGGTGCCGAAGCGGCCCTGGAGCCGCGTCCAGAACGGCGTCGGCAGCACGTCCGCGAGGCCGTCGCCGACGTTGAAGTTGAGGATGTTCGACGTGCCCTTGAGGCCCTTGTCGGCGATGAGCACGACGGTCTTGTCGTCGACCTTCCAGTAGTCCTTGATGGCGAGGCCCGGCGTCTCCGGGTAGGACTGGCAGAGCACGCGGATCTTGAAGCCCGACGCCTTCTCGGTCTTCGCCGCGAGGACGTCGAGGCGCTTCTGCTCGCCCTTGGTGAGAAAATTGACCTTGACGTCGATGACGTTGGGCCGCCGGCCGTCGACGAGGGTCGTCGGCAGGAGCTCGGGCTTGTTCACGCCCTCGGGCCGCGCGACGACCGCGAACGGCGTCAGCGACGCGACGGCCGCCGCGATGCGCTGGCCCGCGCTGCGCCGGCCGAGCGCCGTCGCTTGGCTTTGCTGCGCGTGGAGCGCGTCGACGCCGAGGCCGTCGTCGATGAAAGGCAAGGCAATGAGCGCCATTGACAGTGTGATGATGCGCAGCAGCAGCGAGTCCATGGTTCGTTTGCAACGCGAGCGACGGAGATAACAGTGTTGCACCGTGCGATGCCGGTGAGCGGCGTGCGACGGCCGATGTCGATGGGTGCGCTGCGTACGGGAGTCGCTGCAACCGACCTGACGCTCGAACGGCGACGAGTCCTTCGCGCTGGCCTGCTTCAAGCAGGGCGTCAGCCGAGAAGCACCGTCGCCGCACGAGCAACCTCATCTCGACAGGTGGCCCGAGTTCAAAGCTCTCGGGGCAGCCCATCTCGTCGGTGCAGCCGGCGCCTCGGTGCTCGTCCTCGACGACAGGAGACCCATGGCGACCTTCGGCAACGTCGAGGCCCAGCTGGCGCCGGACCCGGCCCTGTCCGGCCCCGCGCCGACGACGAAGCGCAAGCTCAAGCCGAGCATCACGATCTCGGGCCTCGCCGCCGAGGTCTTCTCCGTGCGCTTCTCGCCCGACGGCAAGTACATCGCCGCGGGCTGCGGCGACGGCGCCGTGCGCGTCTTCAACGCGAAGACGGGCACGGTGTCGCAGACCCTGTCGACGGGCTCGTCCGAGGGCCTGCCGAGCACCATATTGCGGTTCCGGCCCTCCGGCGACGGGTCGCGGACGAAGAACGTGCTCCTGGCGGCCAACGCCATGGGCGTCGTCGAGCACTGGCACGTCACGTCGGGCAAGTGCCTCCACAGCCACGTCGAGGAGGGCGCGGACAACCAGATCTACGCGCTCGACTACGCGCCGTCGGGCGCCGAGTTCGCCGGCGGCGGCAAGGACTGCGCGATCCGCGTCTACGACGAGGACACGCGCAAGCTCAAGGCGACCCTCAAGGGCGGCAGCGGCTACGGCATCAAGGCCTCCGCGGGCCACAGCAACCGCATCTTCTCCTGCAAGTTCCACCCGACGGATCCGAATTTACTGGTCAGCGGCGGCTGGGACAACACGGTCCAGATCTGGGACGCGCGCGCCGGCGCGTCCGTGCGGTCCCTGTACGGCCCCCACCTCTGCGGCGACGCCATCGACGTGAGCGCGGACGGGTCGAAGATCCTCACGGGCTCGTGGCGGCCCGAGGACCAGCTCCAGCTCTGGGACTTCGGCACGGGAACGCTCGCGGAGACCGTGCCCTGGACGTCGTCCCTCATCCAGCAGCGCGAGCCCTGCATGGTCTACGCGGCCCAGTTCGCCAAGGCGCCCAAGAACGGCACGGAGCCGCTCATCGCCGCGGGCGGCTCCGGCGCGAACGAGGCACGCGTCTTCGACTGCCACGCGAACTACGCCATGGTCGGCACGGTCGCGGGCCTCGAGCGCGGCGTCTTCACCCTCGACTTTTCGCCCGACGGCAAGCGCCTCGCCGTCGGCGGCGGCGACGCGACGATCCGCGTGCTCGACATCATCGGCGCGGACGAGTGGGAGCTCGAGCGGCCGGGCACCGCGGCCAACTAGGGGGTCCGCGGGCTGACGCGCGCTTTAACGGATGCGCGTCCTGCCCACTACGTCGGTCAAAAGTCGCCGCGCGCGTCCTCAGAAGTCGTCGGCGCCGAAGACGTCCTCGCCGAGCGCCTCGACGGCCTCGCTGCGCCGCCGCTTCAGGGGCATCGGCGGCGCGTCCGTCTCCTCCTCGGCGGCCGCCGCGTTCGACTGCTGGAGCACGCGCACGACGACGGGCTCCTTCTCGCGGCCGCGCTCCCGCTCGAGCGCCGCGAGGTTCTCGTCGCATTGCCGCGCGAGGTCCTCGAGCCCGTAGAACTGCGCGCGGGAGGTGGGTTCAGTGCGCGCGAGAGGGCGCGCGCGCGCGTACCAAAAAGACGCGGCGTCGCGCGTCGGCGTCGATGCGCAACCGCCGGAGCGTCTCCGGGTCGAACTGCGGAACCGACTCGCCCGCGCTTCGCAAATAATCCAGAACGAGCCCGAAGATGTCGCCGTCGCGGTCGATGAAGAACCGGCCGTCGTCCATCGCCGCCATGCCTCCCTCGTCCTCCTGGTTTACCAAGCGGTCGAGGAACGAGCCCGTGACGAGGCTCAGCGTCGAGCGCGTGGTAGCGTGCTCGCGACCGCCGACCAACAGCTTTACGATGCGAGCCGGTCGCGACGCCACTTGCTTCGTCGGCGGCGTGTCGCGGCGCCGCTTGCTCGGCGTAGGCTCTTGTGTGGCAGCCACACCGTCGCGCTTTGCCATGGCGCTGTCACAACGTCGTGTTCGGCGCTTCAACGACGCAATCAGCCGTCCTTGACGGCACGCAGCATCTAGACGAGCGCAATTAGGGGGGACCCTCGCCGGGGCGGTCGCGTCCGAAGAACGCGGCGGCGCGGGCGGGGGCGGGGAGGAGCGGGGAAGTCCGGTGCGTCGACCGGAGCTTCGAGACGTTCGGAGTCGCGTGGTTCGGAGACGCGACTCGCGGCGGCGCGGCGGGGCTCGGCTCAGGCCGTGAAGCCGTCGCAGTAGTACTTCTTGAGGGGCTCGGGCGAGGGCCCGACGAGGACGGCCGTGGAGCAGCCGACGACGACGAGCGTGATGATCCAGCCGAAGCACGTCTTCGCGAAGAGCTTGAGGTTGACGCCGTCCGTGCCCTCGAAGAGGCCCACGGCGACGATGGCGCCGACCTGGCAGTGCGTCGTCGACAGCGGCCAGCCCTGGGCCGTGCCGTAGATGACGACGAGCGCCGCGCCGAGCTCGATGCAGTAGCCGCGGGACGGCGTGATCGCGATCATCTTGACGCCCATCGCGTTCATGATCTTGTAGCCGTAGGTCGCGAGGCCCACGACGATGCCCGCGCCGCCGAGGGCGAGGATCCACATCATCGTGTCCGGGTCCATCTCGTGCTTGGGGACGACCTTGCCCTTCTTGTACGCGACGTACGCCGCGGAGAAGGGGCCCATGGCGTTCGCGACGTCGTTCGCGCCGTGGGAGAAGGACGCGACGATGGCCGTGAAGACCTGGACGAAGCGGAAGAAGGACTCGGCCTTGGCGTCGTGGAGCTTCGCGTTCTTGTGGATCGACGCGACCTTCTCGACGCGCTGGACGTCGCGGTGCGTGTCCTTGGTGACCTGGGCGCCGATGTAGCCCTTCATCTTGTCGAAGGCCGACGCCGACGACTCGCCGGGCGCGGGGGCCGCCGCCGCCTCGGGGTCCGCGGGCGCGGCGTCCCGCACCGTGAAGTCCGCGATGCCCTCGCCGCGGTCGATGGACCGCGCGAGCGGCACGCCGAGGATCGCGGCGAGCCCCGCGGCGCCGAGGCCCACGTAGCAGCCGACCTCGATGGCCGGCAGCAGGTTGCCGTCCTCGGCCTCGCGCACGAGGCGCTGCGTCTCGAAGCGCTTCGGCTGGCCCTTCGTGCCCTTGATGATGATGAAGCACGTGTTGATGGCCACGGTGATGAAGACGACGACGGGGAAGGCGACCTTGGCGAAGAGGTAGGGGTTCGGGCCCTCGAGGATGACGTACTTGGTGAGCGCGTAGAGCACCGCCGCGCAGAGGCCCGACGCGATCGGCGACAACAGCCACGACACGGCGATCTCCGCGACGCCGTCGAGCCAGGGGAAGTCGTCGAAGCTCAGCGGTTTCAGGTCCTTCTGGTCGTTCTTGTTGTAGTTCCAGATGATGCACCGCGACCCCCGGGCCATGAGCGTCATGCCGATGATGCCGCCGACGCACGAGTGCGTCGTCGACACGGGCATCTCGAGGTAGCTCGCGAGGAGGAGCCAGATCGCGACGGAGAGGATGACGCACGTCATGCCGTAGATGAGGAGGCCCGGGTTGTCGTCGAAGCACTCGACGTCGGCGATGCCCTTGCGCATCGTCTTGGACACGGACGAGCCCATGAGGAGCGCGCCGAGGAACTCGAAGATCGCCGCGAGCACGACGGCCTGCTTGATCGTGATGGCCTTGGACCCGACGGACGTCGCGTAGGAGTTGGCGACGTCGTTCGCGCCGATGCCGAACGCCGCGGCGAACGCGAGGAAGCCCGCGCAGACGATGAGCCACTACGATGGAAGAAGGTGTCCGACGTGTTTCAAGGGGTTTCGTGGGTGGGGGCGGGGTTATGTTTCGGGGCGGGCGTTGAAGAGCGATATAAGGAGTCGGATGGCGATAACTCACCGTGAAGTCTTGCTCCTCGAAAGTGGAGCGGTCCGCCATGATCTCCGAGACCGTGGTGATGATGAGGAGGGCGCCAAAGCCGCGCGCCATCGATGGGAAGGAGAACATCTCGAGAAAAGACGAGAGCGCGGATGGAGATGCGAGCTTTGAATCGACGGTCAGAGCCGATGAAATGCCGATGTTGCCCTTGGCGATCGTCCACAACGTAAGACCAGGCATCGCGACGCCGGCCGTGCTCCTCGACGCGCAGGTGCTGAAACGCTACCATACCCGAAACATCCTGAGGTTCGCCTTGATCGTTGCCTGAAGAGGCGACCTTGAGTGACGTGACTGAGTTGAGTCCCAATAAAGCTGCTGCGGCGGTGCGTTGGTCTCGGCGATAATAGTAAAAGGTTATACCTACTTCTTCCTGGGTGAAGGTTTCGGGTTACTGGTAGCGCGGAGCCGAACGGGTACAACTTCAGTGTCGATAATTTTGCAACTTCAGCGGCGCGCGCGGCGAGCGGCGCGAATCGGCCGGGATCTCGAACGGCTGCGGGGACGGGCGGATTCGCCGCGCGGGCGCGGGCCGCCACGGCGTCGACGAGGGACCCGCCGGCGTCGCGGCGGCGGCGGACGACGGCTCGCCGTCGACGGCGTGGTCCGGCGCGCGCGGCGCGCGGCCGGGATCTCGAACGGCCGTGGGGACGGGCGGATTCGTCGCGCGGGCGCGGGCCGCCCACGACGGCGTCGACGAGGGACCCGCCGGCGCTGACGACGAAGCGGCGGACGACGGTCGCCGGCTCGCTGTCGACGGCGTGGTCCGGCCGGCGCGCGCGGCGCGCGGCCGGGATCTCGTACGGCCGTGGGGACGGGCGGATTCGTCGCGCGGGCGCGGGCCGCCCACGACGGCGTCGACGAGGGACCCGCCGGCGCTGACGACGAAGCGGCGGACGACGGTCGCCGGCTCGCTGTCGACGGCGTGGTCCGGCCGGCGCGCGCGGCGCGCGGCCGGGATCTCGTACGGCCGTGGGGACGGGCGGATTCGTCGCGCGGGCGCGGGCCGCCCACGACGGCGTCGACGAGGGACCCGCCGGCGCTGACGACGAAGCGGCGGACGACGGTCGCCGGCTCGCTGTCGACGGCGTGGTCCGGCCGGCGCGCGCGGCGCGCGGCCGGGATCTCGTACGGCCGTGGGGACGGGCGGATTCGTCGCGCGGGCGCGGGCCGCCCACGACGGCGTCGACGAGGGACCCGCCGGCGCTGACGACGAAGCGGCGGACGACGGTCGCCGGCTCGCTGTCGACGGCGTGGTCCGGCCGGCGCGCGCGGCGCGCGGCCGGGATCTCGTACGGCCGTGGGGACGGGCGGATTCGTCGCGCGGGCGCGGGCCGCCCACGACGGCGTCGACGAGGGACCCGCCGGCGCTGACGACGAAGCGGCGGACGACGGTCGCCGGCTCGCTGTCGACGGCGTGGTCCGGCCGGCGCGCGCGGCGCGCGGCCGGGATCTCGTACGGCCGTGGGGACGGGCGGATTCGTCGCGCGGGCGCGGGCCGCCCACGACGGCGTCGACGAGGGACCCGCCGGCGCTGACGACGAAGCGGCGGACGACGGTCGCCGGCTCGCTGTCGACGGCGTGGTCCGGCCGGCGCGCGCGGCGCGCGGCCGGGATCTCGTACGGCCGTGGGGACGGGCGGATTCGTCGCGCGGGCGCGGGCCGCCCACGACGGCGTCGACGAGGGACCCGCCGGCGCTGACGACGAAGCGGCGGACGACGCTCTCCCCCCCCCTCTCCCCCCGCGTTCTTAAATTTACTTAGTAAACTCGAATGGTAGGTCCCCGATGGCTGCGACTTTCGACAACCTCGACCAGCTTCGGCGCGTGCTGGACGTTTTCTTGTACGGCCAATCCAATAGCCAGCTCCCGCCGGACTTGCGGACCCTGCCGCCGGGCTGCCGCTGGCCGGACGTATATATCCGTCGAGGAACGACTGGGCCATTCGAGGGACCGAATTCGTTGTTCGTACAGGAGTTTTTGCGGCTGAATCCCTGGCTGAGACTGGGCGCCTTGGTCTTCGACCTCGAGGCCGCGGGCGTCGACCAGGACACGTTCGCCAACGTCTGCGCGGGCGGCGTCGGCTGCCCGGCGGCCCTGCCGACGAGTTTCGGGAAGAACGGCTGCGGCCACTGCGTGTGCCGCGTCGACGACAACGACCCGCGCGCCGGCGGCGCGGTGCCGAGCCAGCACGCGCGGTCGATGCGGGACTTCGCGAGCTCCGGGACGGGGCTCTTCCCGGCCTTCGTGCGCGCGCTAAAGGCGGCGTTTCTCGCGCGTAATATCGTCACCGGGCGGGAGACGATCGACGGCTACAGGGCCATTCTCTCCGCGTTGCACCCGGACCGGCACATCGACGTGCGGGCGCTGTTTGTGAAGTGGTTCGGCCGCTTCCTGACGGCGGGCGACGTCAAGAAGGTCACCAAGGTCGTCATCTTCGACGTCGCCGGGAAGAACGAAATCTTCGAGATCCTCATCGAGACGCCGGCGAACTGCGCGACGTTCTTCGCGACGGAGTTGATCGGCCAGAACGCGGGCTTCCGCGACGTGACACTCCCGCTTCCGAACGGCGCCACGGTCGCGGTCGCGACCGGTAAGATGTTCCACCAGCGCTGGTCGCGGGGGGGCATGGGCTGGCCCAACCTCGGCACGATCTTCAAGTGGGACGTCGACATCACCGCCCTGATCCCGGCCGTCTTGGCCGCGGTGAAGAGCGGGACGCCCTACCACGGCCCGTGTCTCGTCGACCTTTTCGTCGCCGCGTTGGCCCAGGTCAAGGGCGCTTGCCCTCCGCCGCCGACCCGCGGGCCCGGCCTGAGCCAGCCTCGCTGGAAGGCCATCGAGGCGAACGTTTTGGCGGGCGAGGCGGCCCTCGCGGGCGCCGTCGCGCCCGCGGCCGTGGCCGGGTCCCCGACGCCCAAATTGCCGCCCTGGCCGCTGCCGACCCACACGATTGGCGCGTGTGGCCAGGTGTCCTGCGTGGTGAGCTTCAAGCCTTTGTCTGTCGCTCGCTTGGTGATGCTCCCCTTCGCCATGGCGCTCAAGGTTCCGTTTCCCGAGTTGTGCGACGCGGGCCAGTTCCTGTCCGCGGGCGATCTCAGCGCGTTGTACTTCACGCGCAGACAGGTTGATCCCGTTTTGTTCTCTCATCTGTTGCGTGGACGCCTTTGCAAGACGCTTTTCGAGGACTTCGTCGAGGTCACGAACGCCTCGCCGAAGCGCGTCTTCGACCCCCGCGTCGCGGCGACGCGCGTCACGGTCATCGCCACGGCGGCGGCGGACGCGAAGGAGAAGCGGCCCGGCGTCGTCTTCGAGAAAAAGGAGAAGGGCTGCGTGCCGCTCGAGTGGGTCGGGATCTACGACTTCGCGGGCCGCCTCGTCAAGGAGACGCGCCAGGCGACCATCGCGGCCGTCCTCGGAGACGCGCCGGCGGTCTGGCGACGCGAGGGGGGGCTGGCGCTTATCCTCGACGAGGACGCTGCACCCGTCGTTCCACCCGACGACGGTGCCGTCCTACGCGCCCTCAAGGAGGCCCGTCTCGCGGAGGAGGCCCGCCGCGCCGAGGAGGCCCGCCGCGCCGAGGAGGCCCGTCTCGCGGAGGAGGCCCGCCGCGCCGAGGAGGCCCGCCGCGCCGAGGAGGCCCGCCGCGCCGAGGAGGCCCGTCTCGCGGAGGAGGCCCGTCTCGCCGAGGAGGCCCGTCTCGCGGAGGAGGCCCGTCTCGCGGAGGAGGCCCGCCGCGCGGAGGCCGTGTGCTGGTTCCTCAGCCTGCCGCTGCCGGCGTCCGCGGACGAGGCCACGTTGCATTGCGCCGCGGAGGACGAGACGCTGGCCATCGCGGGGGCCTTCGTCGACTGGGTCGACCTCGAGCCTCCGGCGCTTTTCGCGACGACGCGCGCGGGCCGGTGGGTCGACCTCGGGGTCACGGCGGATTTCGAGGCGTCTCTGCGCCGCCGCGCCGAGGAGGCCCGCCGCATGGCCCGCCACGAGGAGGAGCTGGACGCCCGCGGCGCGGCCATGCTGGAGGAGCACGAGAAGCGCATGGCGCGTTTCAATTTTGAGTGCGACGCGCACCTCCGCGCGCGTCTGAAGCGGCCTAGGATCGAGTAAGCCTGTTTAAAACTACCAAAGTTTGTTACTTCAGCCGCTCCGCGATGCTATTCGCCTTCTCGGCGATGAAGGTCAAGTCCTTCCCGGAGAAGGAGTTGTCCTTGTAGAAGCCCTGGTCCGCGTCGTCGTCCCACGCGTCCAGCAGCCCCACGTCGAAGACGATCGCGGTGTTCTCCGGGCTCTTCTCGAGGTCCGTGAGCTGGCGGTCCAACCGCCGGCGCTGGCCCGCGCCCTCGGGCAGCGGCCCGAGGCCCGGCGCCGTGTAGCCCATGGTCAGCGGCACCTCGACGCGGCGCGTGCCGCCGACGCGCATCGTGTGGATGCCCTCGTCGAGGCCGCGGATCGTCCGCCCGTTGCCGTGGCGCACGAGGTACGTCGGCACGGCGTCGACCTTCGTGAGCTTGCCGGCACCGTCGCGCGTGTAGGCCGTGTACTTGATCTTGAGCACCTGGCCCCACTCGGGCGCCGCGCCGGCGCCGGCGACGCCGTCGACGTACTTGAGGCCGTTCTTGAGCACGCGGCCGCGCGACGTCGCCTCGGCGCCCGGCGGCAGCACGCCGGGGACGGCGACGCGCTCGCTGACCTTGGGCGGGTCCGCGAGAGTTTGTTGAGGGTTGATGACGGCGGCGAACACGCCCAGCGGCAGCGCGAGCGCGCGGCGGCGCGGGACGGCGGTGTGCGGCGCCGGCGCCGGCGCCGGCACGAGCGCGCTGGCGAGCGCTGCGAGCGCGACGAGGGCGACGAGCGGTCGCCGCTGCATCGATGACGGTCGCAGGCTCAACATACTCATGCACTCGCTTCTTGCTGTCCGCCGATTGGCTGGTTCGGCCGATGGCTATGCTGCCCCGACCTGCGATGATTTTGCTCCGCCTCTTATTCACCGCCGCCGTCGCCTCGGCGACGCGCGAGCTCGTCGCCATGGTGCCAGCTCTCGGAGATCCGAACCTGACGACGTCCACGACGCTCGAATGGCTCGAGCTCTCCTACGACAAATCCACCAACGACGCGCGCACGGTGAACGTGTCCTTCGTGAAGCGCGACAACAACAACGACGCCCTCGGCTCCTGGAAGGGCCTCGACCTCGCGGCCCACGGCGGCGGCGCCGGCGGCGCGAGCCTCAGCGCCAAGGTCGTCGGCGACTCGTTGTACGTTTTACTGGAAAAGGGCGCGACGCCCGCGACGGCCGGCGGCGGCTGCTGCGCGGACACGCTGCGCGTCTACGACCGGTTGAGCTCCGCCTACATGGACCACGACCTGGACGCCGCGCTCGACGCCGCGTTCCCGTCCGAGGTCGCACGCCGCGTCTCCTTTAGTCGCGCCCTATACCGCTCATTACCGCCCATAGGTCGACTTCCACCACGTGACGCACCAGTTCGACGTCTTCGCGACGGACTCCGGCGACGTCCACGCGCTTTTCGTGGTCCAGTGGACGGACCCGGAGCTCGCGGGCGTCGTGCGCGTCAACGGCCTCGTGCGCATGGATCTGGGCACCGGTAAAGTCGTGCCGACCGTCGACGGCGACTCGTACTACTCCTGGAAGGACAAGATCGGCACGAGCTCCCTGGCCTATTCGGACGCCATCTACAAGTTCCAGTACCTCAACGCGTCGGACGCGCCCGAGGCCGAGGACGGCGAGGAGTGGCACGGCAACGGCGTCCACCGCTTCGTGGACAAGGCCGGCGCCGCGCTTCTCGCGGTCACGCACCGCTTCTACCGCGAGGCCTTCGTGGTCAAGGACCCCTGGACCTACGGCGCCGCGGACGGCGCCGACGCGATCCTCCAGCGCTTCGGCACGCCGCCGCACACGGGCGTCGGCGGCGCGCAGTCGTACCACGTCTTCGGCGTCGGCGCGTCGGCCGCGCCGAGCGTCGCGCCCTGGTCCGGCGGCGTCCACAACGTCTTTTATACGCCGTCGTCCGCGACGTCGAACGGCGGTCTCGTCGGCAAGGAGACGATCTCCCTCTTCATCAACTCCATGGACGCGAAGCCGACGAGCTACATGGCCGAGTTCGAGCTCAAACTGGCGCCTCAGAGCGCGGACGACGCGGCCCCGACGGACGCCGTCTTCGACGCGCGCTACTCCATCGTGCCGTGCGGCTTCTACGCGCGCCGCCGCGTCTCGCTTTCCCCCTCGGTTGTTTGCCTCACACGTCCCTCGCGCAGGCGGACGCGCAGGGCGGCGGCCGCGTCATCGCCGACGGCGTCTACCTCGTCGCGTCGGGCCTCGACAGCGGCCTCTTCGAGCTCACGGATGCGCGGGGCCACGTCCGCAACTTCGTGTATCCCGGCGCGAGCGGGAAGCAGACGAACCTCTACGACACGTTCGCGCGCGTCGTCCTCGAGGAGTAATAATGCCGGAGGGCGCGTGTTACATGCGCGGGCCTCGACGGCGCGCGACGACGACGGGCGGCGGGAATCTAGAGGCCCTCGGCCATCTTCGTGGAGTTGGTCCTCACGCTCTCCGCGAGCTTGCCGTCGTCCGCGCCCTCGGGGAACTCCTTGAGGACGGCGGCGGCGACGCGCTGGGCCGCGCGGCGCTGGCCGAGGACGGCCGTGTCGCTCATGGTCAGCGTGTAGCGGTAGGGCGACGGGATGTAGTTCACCGTCGCCTCGCGGCCCTCCAAGAGCACGATCAGGCCGTCCTCGCCCATCTTCGTCGCCGCGGCGGCGGCGAACTTGACGACCTCGCCCTGGGTCTGCTCCGCGACGGTGGGGATGTTCTTCGACACCTTGGGGCCCTTCAGGTCCGTGTTCTTGATCGCGGACACCATGGCCTCGATGCCCAGGCCGCTGATCTTGATGTCCCACGCGCCGTCGAACTTGTCGAAGGTGAGCATGCCCATGAACGTCGCCAGGTTCTCCGGCGTCAGCGCCTTGGCGCCGTCGAACTCGGCGAGACCCTGCTGCTCGCACCACGTCGCCGCGAGGAGCGTCAGCGACCGAAACACGTTGCCGTTCGACCAGCCCGTGGTCTTGCCCTCGGGCAGCAGCTCGCCGAGGCGCGCCACGGTCGTGCCCTTGCCCGTGCCGCTCAGGCCGCAGAGCACGACGACGCCGCCCGTGTTCACGGCGTCGCCCATGTGGCCCACGATGACGTTGCAGACGTCGTCGGGCGTCTTGCCGAGGACGTCGATGGTCACGTAGGTCGGCGGCGGCTCGAGCTTCGGCAGCACGCCCTTGGCGATGGACGCGTCGACGCCCTTCTGGAGCTTCTCCGCGTCCTCGGCGTCGCGGCCGACGATGGACTCGCCCTCGAACTTGCTCAGCGCGGTAAATTTAGCGTCGCCCTCGAGGAGCCCGATGATGGCCGCGCTGGTCTTGGCGTCCTGCTTGACGAGGCAGGCGGAGTTCATTTTCGGGTACTCCTCGTCCTTGACCTTCTGGAAGCAGTTGAGCACGAGGTTGAACAGAGCGCTCATGCACAACACGCGGAGCTCGAGGCACAGCGCGGAGATCGCGGCACAAAAAGCGTGGCGACAGCGGCATCATCATCGAGTGAGGTCGTCGTTGCCCCCGCGAGGGCTCGCGCGTTACGCGCGCTCGGACTAAGTCTCGGACTCGGCCGCGCACACGCACACGAACCTCCTCTTACGCGTCGGGGCTGCGCCAGCCCACGATCAGCGTCGACTCCAGCGCGCCGTCGTTCGCGAGGGCCGGCGTGGCGTAGGGCAAGACGGCGGCGTCGAGGCCCTTGCCGAGGAGGTAGTGGACGCGGCCCGCGTCGATGAGGTCCATGGCCGCCTGGCCTATGGTTTGATCGCCGAAGACCTCCTGCGGCCCGCACTGCGTCAGCCGCGTGAGCATCGCGAAGCGCCGCGCGTCGATGCCCAGGTCCCGCAGGAAGTCGCGGCCCTCCGGCGGGTACGCGCGATACTCCACGTCGAAGTAGCAGCAGGGCGCCAGCGCCACGACGGCCGGCGGCGCCGCGGCGACGGCGCGGATCGCGTAGTCCATGGCCCGGCCGCAGACGTGCTTGGCGACGCAGGCGACGTCGCCGTCGCCGAGGCCTGCGAGGTGCAAATGCTCGAGCCCGACGGACACGCGGCGGCCCTCGACGGCCTTGGCCTCGTCGCTGTCCGGGTGCGCCTTGTCGACTAAAGTCACGCTCGCGAACTCCAGGTGGGCGAGCGACGCGGCGACGCGGCCCTCGCGGCTCCCGAGCTCGACGAGCGAGACGCGGCCGCCGGCGACCGTCGCGGCCGCGTCGCCGATTTTCGCCGTCGCCGCCGCCGCGCGCGCCTTGCACAGCGACTTGACGTTCGCGACGCCGGCGCGCGCCGGCGCGGCGATCGGCGGCAGCCCGAGCGTTTCGCGCGCGGCGTGGACGACGTCGATGAGGTCCGTGAACTCGCGCTCCGTCGCGCGGTCGAGCGATGCTTCTTCTACGGCTTCGTCGTGGCCCGTGTTCGCGTTCTGTCTATAGTAGGGCGCCTGCGGCATGCGCGCGAGCCCATGGCAGGCGAGCGCCTGGCAGAGAGCTGCGAATGCAGGCCGCATAGGATTGCAACAAGTTCATCAAGCGTTCAACAACATCAACTTTACATGAATGATAACGCCGAAGCTTATGGGGCGGCTTTCGGAGAGTGCGCGGGGGTGGTTTCGCGCAGCGGCCGGTGGTGGGGCTCGCCGCGTCGGCTCCGGGGGGCGCTCGGGGAGGAGCACCCCGCTGCGCGCGTCGATTGGGCGGCGGGGCGCCGAGCGCGAGAGCTTGCAGTGCTTGGCCGTCGGCGCGACGTCGCCCACGGGCCCGGGGGGCTGCCGCGCGCGCTCGCTTCGTTCGGATGCCTTCGGCGTGAGTCTTGGGGGGAGCTGGTGGGGTCGGCGCCCTCGATGGCTTCGGTGTGCGGGCTTCGATGTGCCCGTGTCCATTCGTTTCTCTGCATTCTGCAGCGTCTCTTCGTAGCGTGGCGCTGTGTGCGGCTCCGTCGACGTCGGCGTCTTCGCTCTCTTCGTCGGCGTCTTTGCTCTCTTCGGTCCCGCTGACTACGGGTGTCCTCTTCGGCGGTGCCCTCGGCTAGCCACTTGTGGTCCTGAGGTTGAATCGGCCTAGTCGAGCCGGACGTCCTGCCCGTCGGGTGCGGGTGCCTTCGTTCTCAACCTCCCCCGGTCCACGGAGAGTCCGTTGAGTGTCGTCTGAATGAGGCGACTCAGGATGCTACTGCCTTGCGCCAGTCCCGGCGTGCTCTCGGCGTGGCGGTGGTACCAGGCGTGGCGCGAGTGTACCGCCGCCTCCGTCCCGAGTGCGCGCACGATCTTCAGGGTGGAGGAGGGGGCCGGTGTGGTTCGCCAGATCCCCGGCTAGGCCTCCGCCCGCGCCTTCCCCGGCGGGATCTTCGGGTGTGCTCCCCCTTCAATAACTTGGTCAACAAGGTCGTAGTGGCAATTTAGAAATTATCGCATCCCTCGTTTTTTTCATCCTCCACCCGCGTTGTCGTGCGGCAGCCAGTCGTCTCCTGGACACCTCGACGCTCGGAACGCCCACGCAACGATGAAGCACAATCCGCTCGGGCCCGTATGCCTCATCCTGGGGGTGCTCTCGGCCGTCGTCGCCGCCTACGACCTCTCCTGGTTCTACCGCTACAGCAACGGGTTCATCAGCGCCATCAACGGCCACATGATCAAGGTCATCTTCTTCAGCGCCTGCCTCGCGCTGTCCAACGGCATGATGGCCATGGGCGTGTCCAACAGCACGAAGCTGCTCTACGAGGACGCGCTCACGATCAGCCGGCGCCGGCGTCCCGCGACGGCGCGCGAGGAAACGCCGAGAGCGTCGACCCTGCGTAGGCCGCTGCATGTGGGTCTACCACTACATTTTGATGCTCCTCGCGTTTTTTGACATCCGGGGCCACGGCGGGCGCACCGAGGTCATGACGGCCTGCGGCAAAGCGCTCGACCAGGCGAAGATCGGGCCGCAGAAGATCCCGCCGCCCTTCGTCCCTTTTCACGGGTTCAAATGCAAGAAGGAGCCGAACACGGCGCTCGTCTTCCACTGCATGCGCCTCGTCGGGGCCCGCGTCCCGCGGTCTCCCTCGGGTTTCGGCGGCGTCTCGCCGCGCGCTTCGAGACCGCGCCTTCCGTAGGTCGAGGCGCAGATCGTGGGCATGTTCTTCATCGTCCTCGTGAAGAGCACGCTGCAGTTCCAGGGCCTTTTGTTCGAGGACGAGTCCGCGAGCTGCCCGCACGAGGGGCAGGCGGGCATGATGCTCGGCTTCGTGCAGCTCTTCTTCGTCATCTGCGGCCTCTCGGGCATCATCCCGCTCGTCGGCCACCTCACGAAGCTCGTGCTCCCGAGCCGGCAGCCCATCGTGTCGCTGCGGAACAAGATGTACATCTTCATCCTGCCCTGGTCGTCCGCCGTGCAGACCGTGATCCTCTTCGGCATGATTTTGGGGAATATCATCGGCGAGTGCTCCGCGAAGCACGCGGACCAGGTCACGCTCGCCGTCGAGATGCTCATCTTCCAGATCGTGTCGCACCGTGCCTTCGTCCCCATGTTCACCTGGGGCCCGCACAAGCCGCCGCCGCCCTTCCTCGCGAACGGCATCCCCGACGACTTCCAGTTCATCGTCGCCCCGGACAAGATGGCCGCGGTCTACGGCGGCGCGGCGGACGCCAAGGTCGCCCAGGGCGGCGCCGAGACGGAGCTCCCCGTCGCGGCGGAGGCCTAGAGCGCCGTGGCTAATCTTGTCGAGGCTTTGTCACGGTCGACTCGGCGAACGATGTCCTGCCCCCACTTCGCGCCCCCGCCAACATAGACGCCAACAAAACACACAAGCGGCGGTCGCGAACGGGGGCGTTAGGTAAGAAGCCCCCGGGTCAGTCGAAGAGCCCCTTGGGCGGCCCGCTTGACTCGCCGAAGAGGTCGCCGAACTTGGAGCTCAGGTCCGCGGTGGAGGACGCGGCCGCGGGCGCGGCGTCGTCGTCGCCGAAGAGGCCGCCGGAGAAGAGGCCCGGGTTGTTGCGCGCGAAGTCGGACGCGGCGGGCGCCGCCGCGACGGCCGCGGGCGCGGCCGCGAGCGCCGCTGGCGCCACGGCCGCGTACTCGGGCGCGAGCGCGCCACTCGCCGCGCCGGCCGCGACGGCCGCGGGCGCCGCGGCGAGGGCCGCGGGCGCCGCGGC